CCCCAAAACCCCAAAACCCCAAAACCCCAAAACCCCAAAACCCCTTCGTAAAATTGTGAGATTGAAACATACCAATAAAGCTTTTTGATAACTTTTGAGAAGCTCTTCAAATTTATGATTTCGGAAGCCGACTCACTTTAGAAGCAAAGGAATAGGAATTCTTGTTGCTATCTCTATTCTTGTAGTGCTGGTTCATCAGGTCGGATACGAGATGCTTATCTTTTGCAGGAATACCACTCAGATCATTAGGGTCTTCCTTTATAACATCAATTGTGTTATTAACAGAGGTGAACCTGGGCTTTCCACTTCCAATTGGAGAGATCTGATACTGAATAGCTAATTTTTGATCCATCGTTTTTATGATATCTCTAAAGGTTAGATCGTAAGCCCCTGGGCCTGGCACACCATTGTTGTAGAGTGTGCGATTCAACTCTCTTTTTGAGGTAGAATTGAAACCTTCTTTTGTAGTTCTAGATCCTTTAATGATTAATTGATTCTGGAGCTTTGATGGATCTTGCTTTTGCTTAACAGCCTTCAGATCAGCAGATCTTTTAGGAAATTTAGAGCCATTATAATACCCCACTGGTGGGTTTTCAAGGTACGTAGGTTCAGTAAAGGGAAATCTTGCATCATTCTTAGTTATATTTGTGTTTCTTTCAACACTACTGCCAAAGCTAGAGGAATAAAAGCCAATATTCTTACTTTCCTGAACTATATGGAGCTTCTTTTTGTATATTTATCTCATAAGAGCCAGGACCAGGTATGGATGAGACTGAGTGTTGTCTCTTAGTCTTTGATACGAAAATACTTGACCCTACTTCATCCTCCTTAAGCATTGTGTTATAACTTATTGTATTATAAATATGTTTATTTTCTTCTTCGGCTGAGTGTGAAAATTGCCTTTCATTCTTGGCTCGGTCAATTAATGCTTTATTTACCCTATAAATTAGAAACTTATCGTACAGGATCTTGGATGAATTCCTTGTTTTTCTTATAATGCTCTGCTAGAACAGGGTTACAAATCTTAGTTGTCTTCGTATTCCTCTGCAGGATCCGGTCTTTAGGATTATAAGATCCTGGGCCAAGATCTCTTTGATCATTCAGCTTTCTTTTATCTAAAGATTAGGTGAAACTTACAAGGAATGGATGGGTTTCGTAGCTTGGGATCGGTCAAGGAATATTTAATACTTTGGTTATTCTTATTTATCATGATCATACTCTTAGGCTTATTTCAAATTTGGCTTTCTTAATTTTACTTCTGAGTAAGTATGGTTAATTTCTGTTATAATTATTCTTAAATCCCTTCTTTCTTAGCCTGCTGTGCTTGAAATCATTATTGTGGAAAGATCCAGAAGTGTAAGCAAAGCTGTCGTTGTAAGAATCTGGAGAGTCAGATCGAAGAATATTTCTGTGCTTTATCTCAGATGTACGAGAGTGAGATAAATTCAATGCGTTTTTAGCCTGCCTGAGCTTAGTAATACTCATATTTGGATTATTACTGTAAGAGCCGGGTCCTAAAAATTATAAATAAATCTGTCTTACCTGGGGTTGACATGAAAGATGCTAGATAATCATCTCCAAACCTGTCTACTCCTGATCCAAACGGAATTTTGCTAAAATTATAGATGTAGCTTACCTTAGCTTAAAATTAGGAGGAATTTTTATTGGACTGTTACTATCTTTTCCTAAATAAAATCAGTTAAAACTCAATGTTTCAAAAACAATGATATTACCTTGAAGCTTAGGACTGTAATATGCAGGCCCTACTCCTTCCTTTCTATAACAAATAAGAGAAAGAGTTACCTGAATTCCTGAGTTAGAGATCTTGAAGATCTGTATTCATCATTCTTCTCACGATACATTTTCAATATTTTAATTGTTAAATGGGGTTTTGGGGTTTTGGGGTTTTGGGGTTTTGGGG